AGAAGAAAAACACAGACAAAATACGGATTTGTATTGATCCAATTGACCTCAACAAGGCTTTGAAGCGACAGCACTACCCCATGAGGACAGTAGAAGAAATCATAGCAAGAATGCCCAAGGCGAAGTTCTTCACCAAGCTAGATGCATCGCGGGGATTCTGGCAGATTCCATCATCACATGCAACGTCGATGTTGACGACATTAAATACCCCATATGGACGTTATAGATACCTAAGAGTAAGAATGCCGTTAAGCATCACTTCAGCCAGTAAAGTGTTTCAGAAACACATGGACAGTCTATTCAGTGGTCTACCATGTGAAGGTATAATGGATGACCTACTAGTTTGGGGAGAAACAGAAGAACAGCATGACAATAACGTCATCACAGTACTCAACAAAGCGGATGGAATAGGCCTGAAACCGAACCCGGACAAGTTCCACTTCAAAGAAAAGAAAGTGAGCTACGTTGGTCACTTACTGGCAGCTGAAGGTGTCAGACCTGACCCTGAGAAGGTCCGAGCAATTGTCAATATGCCAGAACCTGAGGGATTGCCGTCACTGCGTAGATTCCTAGGAATGGTTACTTACCTGGCAAAGTTCATTCCCCATCTCAGTGAGTTGGCAGCACCACTGAGAGAGCTCTTACAGAAAGAGACTACATGGGAGTGGTCCTCCAAATGTAGGACAGCAACGGAAGCAATAAAGCAATAAAATCAGCAACTCAGCTACGCTGAAGTTCTATGATGTTATAAAGCCTGTCACTCTAACATGTGACGCCTCCAAGAGTGGACTGGGTGCAGCAGTAATCCAGGAAGGACATCCAATAGCCTATGTGTCCAAATCCCTGACGAAATCGCAAACAAACTATCCTTAAATCGAGAAGGAGTTGTTAGCAATCCTCTTCGTCTGTGAGAAGTTTCATGATTACATTTATGTCAAAAGAGTTACAGTTGAACCAGACCATCAACCACTCATTACCATATGCAAGAAACCACTGTTTGCAGCACCAGCAAGGCTACAATGCATGCTACTAAAACTACAGCAGTATTCCATTGATCTGGTATACAACAGAGGGAAGACTTAATAATTGCCGACACTCTCTCACGAGCATACCTAGAAGATACCTCTAACAATGAAGAAGAGTTTGAGGTATTGACAGTTCTGCCCATGACAGAACAGCGAACAGAGCAGCTGCAACGGGGAAACAGCAGAAGATCCACTAATGCAACTGCTAAACCGTTACATATACTACGGATGGCCAGAATACAAGAAAGATGTACACCCAGATGCCAAGCCATATCACTCATTCAGGGACGAGCTCGCTGAATACTCAGGAATTATATACAAAGGCGAGAAGATTGTGGTACCTCCAAGTCTGAGGAATGAATACATGGAACAAGTACACAAAGGCCACATCTCAGCCCAGGCATCCAAGAAGAGGGCTAGAAAGTTCCTATATTGGCCAAAAATCTACAGTGATATAGACAGACTTACAACACTGTGCCAGATTTGCAACAGCTGCAAAACACACCAGCAGAAAGAGCCACTAAAACAACACAGTGTTCCAGAGAGACCCTGGCAAGCTGTAGCAACAGACCTTGTTACATGGAAAGGGAGGAATCATCTTGTGTTAGATGACGCTTACTCTGGATGGTACGAGATCAACACACTAGACAGCACAGTTTCAACCGCAATCATCAGGAAACTGAAAAGCCACTTCACTCGTTTCGGAAAACGAGATATACTAATATTCAGACAACGGCCCACAATACACCTGAACAGAATTCTCTGAATTTGCATCAACTTGGGGGTTCAAGCACAAAACCAGCAGTCCTAATTACCCACAAAGCAACGGACTCGCAGAGCGTGCAGTGATATCAGCCAAAAGCCTTCTAGAGAAGTGTGACATGGACAGAACAGACCCATATCTAGCAATACTGAATCAGCCCAACACACCAAGAGATCCAATTTTGGGATCCTCAGCTCAACGACTGATGGCGAGACGGACTAAAACACAGCTCCCCATGTCAACAAAACTACTTGAACCTTCTCTCAAGGATCCACAAGTAATCAGAAACAGGCTGCTGAACATCGGACAACATCAAAAACAACAATACGACAAAACAGCAAAACCACTGGGACAACTCATTCCAGGTGACAAAGTTAGATTACAGTCAGAAAAGGGTTATGACAAACTAGGAGTTGTAAAAGACATGCATGACACACCAAGGTTCTACATTGTTGAATCGGATGGCAGGACATACCGGCGCAACAGAAGACACCTACTTCTAGTGCCTGAAGATCTCAAGAAGAGACAATGCTACACATCTCCACAACACAAACAACAGATAGAACCACAACAAAGGCATCAGCTGGAGGAGCAAACACCTACCAAACCATCGCCACTGAAATCGCCCAGCAAACCGCCACCTGTGAGAACACCCATCAAGCTACCAGTACCACTGGTGAAATCTTCAACAACCACATCGCCAACATCCCACACATCCCCAGCAGCAACACAACATACTCTAACAAAAACGAGGAGTGGAAGAATTGTGCATCCCAACCCTAGATATGCATAGTAATCAGAAACAGACACTGTTCAACAGCTGTTCAAAGACTGTGTTCAACATGTTCAACGTTCCAGTTATCATGTTAATGAAGAGTTTGATTTGAACTTTAAAGTTTACATTTGTTCCTATCATAAATTGTGCTCGGTGCTAAACATAAACTGTAAACGGAATTCAAGGAAAGTGACCGAGAAAGACATTAACAGTCCATGATTTCCCCATCATATCCACTAGTGTATGCTATTCAGAACAGAACTCTGCAGATAACCGTGCCAAACAACAAGTGCCAAATTTGCTATTATGTTCAAGCATAATCGCAAACCTCATCATCAGTTTTCTAACAGCCCTCTTGCTGCATGATACTATATTATTCTCTTACAGTATTATAAGGCCAAAAAAATAAATGTTGTGGTTCCGATTTCCTACATTTCAGAACTAGGGTAGGTAGGTAGGTTTGGGGTTTTTTTGCAAAATATTTTTACATTACTCAGATTACTCATGTGTCAGAAAATAAATTTCATTTATTATGAGGTGAGTAAAATTGTTAGGCTCGGCGGGAATATTTAGGGTCGGTCGGGAAATCGGAACCACAAGCTTTTTTTTTTAGGCCTAAGTCACTTAAAAAGAAAGGGAGATGTAGAATCCATATTCCGGTCGATTGACATTCCATATTATACATTAATGCATGCCAAGTTTTAGTATGCACCGAGCCTCGTTGTCGTCTCCCACATGGCAGCGCGACCAGAGCGAGCCATCATGTAATATGTCAAGTATAATAAACAAGATTGTACGACACTTATCGTTTGTACCAATCTTACACAGGGTACATCAGTATATTATGTGAGTGAGCTTAGTTTTATGTTGCTTTTAGGAATATTCCAGCAATATCACGGCAGGGGAAACCAGAAATGGGCATGGTTTTACTCCACTTACTCCAACCATTCCATCAAAATACAGCTGAGGATACCATAAATGGGTTTAGCACATTGTACCAATCTGGGGAATCAAACCCGGGTCTTCGGCGTCACGAGCAAATGCTTTAACCACTAGGCTACCCCACTGTCCCTAATTTTAATCCTAGAGCATGAAATATTGAGAAAGGCCACAAAAACCATTGAGCAAACATGTGAGATGACATTAGTTCATTTCTGGAAAATCAAAAGTAGCATGCCCTGTGTCACATGCCTGGGACCCACATTTTCATGCCCTGAACACAATAATATCTCCCAACACGAGCTGAATTCGACGTTCTGGTGATTTCGACGATCGCATTGCCCGCGAAATATCAGGGGAGTATGTGCGCGATCATAGTGCACAAGAAGTTTCATCGGTAGGGCAGATGCCCAGTCACTGTCGTGATAAGTTTATTGACAATGGAAATCCGGAAGTTATGTTATATAAATAGCAAACAAACATCTATATTATTTACTCGAGATCATTAATACCACTTCAGATGCAAAATCAACTGCATATATAAAAAAATTTAGCAAGCAAATATTCAGTAAGATCAGTCGTCTGCTTGTGACGGACAACATATACATAAGAAGCCACGTGATCACAACATATATGCATTGAAAAAGCCACCATTTCGCATTGATCACAACACTCACTGTCAGTATAGCAGTGAGAAGCTTAAAATGTATGAAAACACATACAAAGTCCCACTCAACAATCATAATACCCACTCCAAAAATGTGGAGAGCGGCAACAGTTTTGCCCATATGATGCCATCAACGCAATTTTTAAAGGAAACACTTCATATTTTTGAGTGAAATAGATGAATATATCCGTTATCATTCAAGGTTTGTATAATAAAAACTTACATCATCGAAAACACCTGACACCAGGATATATCACTGAATGTCCCTATGACAGGAAAATAGATCCAGATTAATACTGGGGTATATATCACACGAATGACACACTTTCATGTCTGTGGGTCTGTCCACACTCTTGATATCAAGATTCCCTTACTACAGGATAATTCTAAAACAACACAATATATATGTGAAACCTGTTCCTCAAAATGAACATAAACGACAAATACACTAACGCATTCACTGCAGTAGAAGTACGAACTGTCGAACACTAGTATAGACATTTAAATGGTATGCTCATAGTAGTGTTATGCTTCAAAGTCTGGTCTTTAACGTTTGATAATTACTTACAATTCATATAACAGAGCTTCCGGAATAAGATACACTGTATATAGCCATAATATTGACCTTCTCAAATCACATCTGCTCAGGATTAACGTTGAATTTTGACAATTCAATCCAAGTATCAACTTCCTCATGGAAATCACCCACGCCCAGCCAGAACTGACTCAGGGAAAGGCGATAATTCGATTTCGTATACACCCAACATCACAGCGAGATATCACCAATTTACACCGAAACCGGTTGAAAGAAATAAAGTCATAAAAATTTACCAAAACAAGGTTGATTTTGACAGGAAAATGGCCGTGAAAAACCAGTGGAATGCGGTATATTGAGGGCGTTTTTGGTGTCGTATGACCAAGAGATGCGACTGGAACGTCGTGGCAGGAAATACTGTTGTCGCCGGAACGCGTACTTGTCGCCAATCCAGGCCTAAACAGGTGTGTTTTCAACTTTAATCGCCTACCTGTATTTTTAGATCCACAGGGAACACCTCCGGTGGTCACGTGACTATTTCTCAAGTTGAGCTAGTTGATATTTATCAGCCACCGAGTGAGATTGGACAAGAGTTGCTTCCCATTGATTGTGGATTGTGGAGACAATCATATATTTTACTAGTGTTTCAAAAAGAGGATTTTTGGGTGGTGAGTAACTGAGTGAGTTTGGCTTTACGCCTCTTTTAGCAATATTCCAGCATTATCATGGCGGGGGACACAAGAAATGGGCTTCACACATTGTACCCATGTGGGGATTCGAACCCGGGCCTTCGGCGTGACGAGCAAACTTTAACCACTAGGCTACCCCTGCGCCCCTTTTTGGGTGGTGTGAAACTGGGAACTGTCCCGTCCAACATCATTGCGTCATGCATACAAGTGCTTGCGTGTACGCGCACATTGTATTATTTAATTACTGATACCATTTATAGGATATTGCTGGCATCTACGAAAGCCCAGAGGGTTCAAAATGTTGGGGTTTTTTAATTTACTGTTTTAATATTTATAATAACCACTTTAATTTTGGTAATTACCACTTTTTTCTGGTAAATAGCACTTTTGATACTGGTAATTACCACTTTAGAAACAAGTTATTACCACTTTTTTCTGGTAAATACCTCTTGAAACAAGTAAATTAGACCTTTTGAATTTTACTTGCTCTAATTCATATATATTTTATGCGTTTTAAAATAATCTTTTAATATCATGTTTGAATTTTTGCCATTTTAAAAAATAATGCCATGTACTGATTGTTGAATTTTAGTTTGCATATAGTTTCTATAAATATTTTTTATGATTTCAGAATATCTAGATACATGTCACATTTTCAGCTTCGGTATTAAAGAAAATCCAGAGCTTACCATATTTTATCGTTACAGGAATGTCTTGTCCAAATCTAGAGGGGTTTTTTTTGTGCATTTTCATTTTGTGATTGACTGATGATTAAACTTCGACTTAGTCGTTTAATATATAGAGTGTTTAATATATCACCACGAGTTGATAAAGTCACAAATATCCAAGACTTGTCGAGGATATTTTTACTTCTATCAAGGAGTGTTGATATATTTGATATCAGAAGACACGAGGGTGAGATTCTATTTATCATAAAAAATCAGTCTTCATTAGTTTTCAATGAAAAATGTACATCTCTGAACATGGTGCTGCCATCACACTCCGGCGCAGTGATGACTTAGCATAACGTACTATGCTGGCTGGCCGCATGGAACTCTGGGTAGGAGAGTGTACTGCTATTAGACTTGCAGTGCAGCGATGTCATAGCTTTGTGATGCCATCAGGTTTTTGACGTCATGGCATTGTGAGTCATGCATTGACGTCAGGGCATTGTACAAAATTCTAAGATGCCTAGCGGTTAGAACAATGGAAAAAAATACATTATCAGACAATAAAGGTATACATAGAGATTTTTTCTGGGTTACATCTTCTTTTTATTCTCGAGTACAACGTTTCAGGGCTTGTTCTGGCCCCATCATCAGGTAAAACTGAACAGTAACTGTTAACTCTGGCCGTGACGTCACAATGCTTATTCGTACTTTAACTATAATAGTTCAGGGCGAAAGTGTGTTTCGTATTAATACGCAGCGAATTTCCGGGAATCGAATACCATTCGATCATGTTTTTCAACCAATCAGATTAAAGAACACAGTGACTTTTGGTTTACAATTTACTGTCAAAACGATATCTCCTACATCGTTTGATCTCACACAAGAAATATCTCCCGTGGAACACAGTTTTGGATAACAACTAACGTCATTACTCGCCCGTGGAAGATACTGCAGTGTATTATAGCTAAAATACATGGAATTATCATGAAACGGCCCTCCCATTATCAGAAACTTGCGGGCCGCTGCAAATGATATTGGACCGCTCAACCTTAACGACGGGCCACTATCAGTTCTGTTGTCAACTGACGTCATAGTGGGTGCGTGGGCTTGCGGTTCATTCGACATTATTTTGCTCTCGACTGGCAGATATTCTGGGTCAAACAAGTCAAAGCAACCCGAATTCCCGCTTTAACCCCCTGGCTGCCGAGTTTTTTTTCAGGCGCACATTTTCATACGCTTTGAAAAGTGAACGTTGTGTGAGAATTGCGCTCGCGTGGTCCTGGATCTACGTACGGCTATAAAATTACACAGAAATGTAGAATATTAAATTTCCTATCCGTTGGTATAAATATAAGTGCAACTACCTCGGCGGTTTGAGAAATAGACACTGCTAAATGTTGTCCAATTTTTTTTATGCGTTAAAAAACAGTAATTTTATCCGCTTTTTATCGCGCACCGATAAAAGCACTGTGCTACGAATTTTTTAATGTGGCATCTTTACGGAAAGTGTTAGCGAAGAAAATACAGCTTGATATCTGAACGACATAAGTGTATATGAATTGGGTTTATGTGCTTGTGCATAACGTTATACGCTCAACATTAAAAATGACTCGCAATAAATGTCAAAAATGGATTTTCTTCTATGACGTCAAACGACGACAGAGAGGTCATACACATATAATGATAAGGGGGCATAACTCCGTTATGCGTAACACTAGGTCCATGTAACTCAGATCACTTGGAGAGAATTTGTTGTGGATACGGACGCTATATTTTCGTTATTTTATGTTCATGGTGAACCAAACTATCCCAATTCAAAGTTCCCCAATGTGAGCGGATGCAGTTTGGTAGTTTCACAATTTACAAGAAAAATGACAACGTATTACATGTGAAAGCACTTATGTAGCGATTTGGATGGCCCTATCCGATATATAAGTTAGTTCTTAGATTCCCATATTGTCCTGTTTGTGTAGATGTATTTTGACTAATTTTTGCATCGTTATTACCAGAGTACTAGCCATATCTTCAAATGTAATGAAATTGCTGAAAATAATACACCATTTTAGTTGACGTCATTGCTTGTTTTATGCATTTTGCGACGTCGGAAAAAGACGACACTGGTATGCTGTTTAGTACATATCTCACCTTATTTCCTTTAATTGTGTGAAAGGTCTCGGCTTCTATGTCAGAATTTAAGACTCTTTAGACAAAACATAAAATGACTGATTTTTCCATTTAAATAGTGTCCTGAATATATCAACAATTAGACAGTTTGACTGTGTATCTTTTGTGAGAAACACGCGCACCTGTTTGGCATCAATTTAACGTAAATGAAAAATAACATTTCACAACACCCGAATATTTTGTTTAGGATAAGAATTTCTTTTGTTTATGATTATGTAGCTATTTCTCTTCATAAGTATGCAATGGAAGATGCAAAAGATAGCTTTTTATATATGGAACTGGTACGTACTATATATTGTGAATATGGATGTAAGATTTGTCCAAATTAAGACATGACATGGTTTATATATTTTTAAACAATTTTCGTATAAATATAGTTAGAGTTTGATATCCTGTCATCACAATATTTTTAAATCGAATATGAATTGATTATATTATCGAAAACAATGATAGTGAATCATAAAACGTTTCCGACAAACGCGCACCTGGCCAATCAATTTACATCATTGTTTTCTCTATAAACCGACACACAAATGTGCAAAAAACAAGACAATTCCTTTAAATATGTGTGCATATACATTTCATACCATATATAAATCATTTTCATTAATATTTATCAGTTTTACTTATAAGGTTGAATTAAATCGCCGTTCATTAACCTGTTCATGTGAGAACTGCAATATTAGTCCAAATGCATTGAATATTGTACATCATCGGAACTAACGCAATTGCAGTTATGGCTACGTTTGATCTTCTAACACTTGTGTAAAGGTTTAGAATATGGTGTATTGCACTAAATATGTCAATTTCCTATGTAAATATGATTCAAACAATCAAAAACTTTCAAAGAATAAAACACCGTAAACCCTATACGCACGTATGATATGATATTGAACAAGGCTAAATGTGGATACTGAAGTCAGTTTCATGAAAAGTATCTGAACTATACGCAAAATATACACCATAATACTGACAGTGTAATCGGAAGGATTGGGCGATTGTGTTTACTCTTGTTCAACCGACCTTCACCTCAAAGAAATTGCCTAATATGTACAACAATGTTGACGTATGACATCACTACCGCTGACCGATTTCTTACAAAATGGCGGCTTTGCTGACAAGGGTACACAGGATTTTGCGAGGACCCTTCCATTGATTCAGGGATCGTTTGTCCATAAATATGAGATGTAAGTAATCAGAATGATTCTGACTATCTGTGGCGATGTTATATGTTTTTATCGTTTTCACTAAAGGTAAGAGAAAAAAGACAGAAATCCAGATAATTACCGTTGTCGTTCTGCGTGATTTTCCGTCAGTCATGGCGTCACGCTGCACGGAAACTTTGACAATTTCTTATGAATTATCAAATCATTGCATTGTATCTATTTATAATTTCCTATTTCTTGTTACGATACTCTTTCCATGCATATGCCAAAGGTATTGAGCCATTGCAAGCAATGAATAGACGGATGAATGTTGGAAAATTTCAGAAAATGCTACACAGTGTAAAATAGGTTTTTGTCTTTGTTTACATTTCGAACCAGCGCAGTCTTTCGAGCACAGCGTTCGTTTTCACACCAAATATGTTTCGTCTCATTTTATCTAGACAGTTGGCATTGGTGACAAAGACCACTTGCAGTTTGAGTCTAAAATGTATGGGGAGTTTATTGATGCATTTTTCGAAGCTGAATATGAAATATACGTGATGTAATATGCGTCTCAATACCGGCCTTCGCGAAACGTGATTTTGTAAACACTATCCAATATGGCGGAAAGCGCTCTACGGCGTTCGTGTAAGTGCATTTTAGAAAACATCCCAACCGATTCTAGATTCATCGGCAACGTTTCAAGAATTTTACTTAGCGATTTCATGTAAAACTGATATGAGTGATCATGAATATGTTATTTTGAAATTCAATACTCCCAGTAATTATCCGGTTTTCACATTTCAAAACATACAGCAAATAACGCTGTGAATCGCGATTTCGTACTGTGTCAAAAATGGCGACATTTTCGATGAAGCCTATTTTGAAAGGTCATTTTCAGCACTTGAACTTTGTCTAAAATAATATTAAATAGTGGTAATATTGGCTTTCTTGTTGGTGCTAACCTTAACACTATTAAGACTGTTGATGGACCAAAACCGAACACTGACATAGTTTGACATGTTGCAGGCTATGGTCTTGTCAAAGGCCAAGGTCGAATATCGTCACTTTCTGTTGTGACGTCACTTGAATTGTTCGAGGACGTAATTGAATTCGGACAGTCAACCCCGTCAGAAGTTGATTTGGGTCAAATTACAGTCAAATTCCTTCATTGTTATTTTCAACACAAATTCCATGTATTTTATCAATAATAACGGTAATGCTATTTTTGAGGGCATTATCATTTGCCCTCAAAAATAGCATTATCCTTATAATAGTTTACGGCAATAACAATAATAAAAACGCATAATATGTATATGAATAAGTGTATAAGTAACATTTACAAGTTCTAATTTAATTGTTTCAAAAGTGGTATACACCAGGGGAAAAATGGGTATTATTAGTTTTAAAAGTGGTAATTAGCAGAAAAAATGAAGTGGTAACTACTAGAAAAAGTGGTTATTACCAATTTTAAAACAGAAAATTAAAAACCAAAAACATTTTGACCCCTCTGGGTTTTCACAGCCATCAAATTTTGACCATTTTTAATGATATGTGTAATCATTCATGGTCCAATTCATTCAAAATCATTTAACAAGACAGTTGGATTCAATAGTTAGTAGTTAGTTACTGCAGCACGGTATACCGTGGTAAATACCATGGTACTTGAACAAAAACCTTGGTATACCGTGGTACTGAAGTTTTCGTGGTACCCAACCCTACTTTAAAGCCGACCTCTTGATTTCTTCCATGATATCAAAAATACATTTACTGGAACTGCAGTATATAGTTATTGATATCCCTAAACAGATTTTATGCACACACTTATCTTATAGTATATCACAAAATATTTATAGAAGTTACGAAATCGAGTTTTGAGTTCTGATATGTAACCTTGTTTTTGTAATCTGTAATGAATTTGTGATTTCCTAAAATCAGAAGTATTTTAGATACGACAAATTCGGTATACTAATATCAACTATTTACTTAGAGAAACCGATGTTGAGATGTAAGTAAGCCTCGAGAAAGAGAAAAAGTAAGCAACACGAAAACCTAAAACAATAGAACGTCGTCATTTAAATGTTAAAATAATCACAGATGCACAATTTGACTTGTGACGTGTAAAAGCTTACGTACTATATATAGTATACTCTTGGCCATGTGGCCTTTAGCACTGAAATAGTCTACTTCAGTCTTTCTTAATTTCCTTTTGCTGCTTAGCCTCTCTTTCTTTTCTCTTCTAGTTCTTTATTTTTCTTTTCCCTTCTTAATTATGTTTCCTCTTCTCTTCTTTCTTCTCCTTTCCACATATTCTGTATTATTCTTTCTCCCTCTCTTTTCCTTTACTTCTTCTCCTTTCTATATTCCTTTATTTCTTCTCCTTTCTATATTCCTTTATTTCTTCTTTCTTTCCCCTCTTCTCTTCTAATTTTTCTCTTTTTCTTCTTCTTTCTTGTTCACTCTCTTCTGTTGAACTTAGACAAGAAAGCTCTCTGTACATTACCACAGTTCCCTCCCATATTGATATACCCAAGGAAGACTAGACCTCCTCTGTGAAGGAGTCAGAACATGTCTAGGTGTCTAACGTAACACCAGCCATGCCAATCCTGCTGCATGTTATCATGAGCTCAAGATCTCTCTGTGCGACAAAACGGAATGCTGCTAGACTGGAACAGTCTTCATTTTATTATGTAACATATAAATGTAACAATAAAACTATGACTATTAAGCAAAAGTAATAAAATAGAGACTGTCCTAGAGGTTATTAGATATTCGGAACACACCATGGAAGAGAAAAGATGTAGCTCGGATTTTTGTATCATTTTTTAAAACAAGGACTTTCTCCAGTCTAGGGTTAATATGAACAGACATTATCTTGATCAGCAATACGAACTTGGTATTTAGCTAAAATAAATGGTGTAGAGTACATGCTCTGTGAGACTTGCGAAGTGATAACCTATCGACTTGTGTTTGATTAACGACAAGAGAAATGATTTCCCTATGACATTGACGCATGTCTAAAATCTAAATCCAGGAAGACGATCGTGTTTCAAACACTGGCTGATTCTTGTCCAGCTTGTGATATTCGTTATATACCGACGGGTACACCTGTGTACAAGGTGGTGATCGATATTTAATGTGTACATATTATGGCCAAAATAAATGGAAATATTGGGTACACCTTACACGGGATCATTCTGGCGTTATGTAAGTATATTTTAAGGTGTTTTTGTTGTTGTTTAACGTCCAAGTCAGCAGTCTGTAAATATCCTCTACCAGTGACTGACATCATGAGCATCGATTTACACAAGTGGGATACGATATCATGCATTAACCACTTTAGCAATCCTGACCACCTGTAAGTCCTTTTTGCGAGAGGCAATTGGGAAAGACAAATTCTAACCCGGACTTTCACGAGGTATGGTTTACTGTCAAAAGACCAGGAATGAAATATCGCCAAGTTAAGAAGCACTTTGAAATATTAGCCATTGTTTCTTACACTGGGAACTATTGTCAAGACCTACCAGTATACGCACGTATAGCTAACAATACGCCGATTTTAGGGCTGTGAGCAAATGTGTATAAATTATTTGCCACATGTTTGTATTTATATACATTTCATAACAAACTCATTTTGTCTTAAGGACTTGTTCATGTTCAGATATGAGAAAAAACTTTTCTGTAAACCTCTAACATTTACCTTTTCGTCACATTTTAGCCTCTCTATTCATTAAATGTCCATAACAGAATCATTTATATAATTTCCTAATTTCATAAAGTTTGGACCAAATGCTTTCATTATGCCTTGCCCACAATACGAAGTGAAGAGTAGTGTCCCTTAGTCGTGTAACAAATCTGTGATACGTGGGTTCAAATCCAACTTTTTGTTGTTTTGGTGTTTCTAAATTCTCTTGGCTCACAGTGTTCTTTGATTTGCGTGAAACAAATTATACTTTGTCACAGAGCAGCTATTTGTTTATATGACATTATATGTATCTGTGGAGATGTGAGAGTCGTACACAATCGTCTCCTTTCAGATTAACATCAAATAGCGGTGTAAGTTATCCTTTGGTATTTTCTACTTTATTTGTTTCACAATGGGTGCCACAGATCGCTGCGAAGAGGTGCTTTCCTTAGGAGTTCCAAAAACCCACGATTGCGTTTTGATCCCAGAAATCTCCTGATTACGTTCCTTGTTTTGCTAGCATCATATACCCATGCAAGGGTATAACCAAAGTTATACACGTCCAAAAAACACCGTTATTCCACATCAAACTGACATGACGTGTTATAACTGGAATGCTGTCTAAGTACGTGTGTGAGAAGGTGATTCGGGTTTAACCCTGGTTGATTAGCATTTCAGTTATCTTAGATTATCAGTGTGTCTTGGAAAATGAGGTGGATAGCTGGAAGTGAAATACAGTCCTCGAACAGCTGACTGGTGGAGCCCACGAACGTGGTCAGAATGCTTATAGATGCTGATTTTCGTTTAACGAAGGTCGTTAAGAAGCTCGTATATAAACAGAACTAATGGATACAAGACAGTGAACTGCATGACTGTGCTAGGTCGATTACGAACGTATTAATTATAGTAAGTCAAGTATATCGTTAGTAAGCAGAATTTGCGGATTAATCCAGTTGTCATTCCCAACACTGCTAAACATGATGATATATATGATGATATACATGATGATATATATGATGATATACATGTACATGATGCTCTTTCACCGTTTCATAATCTTTACACAATCTTTTCACCCCCGAACTCAGTATACATGCGATCATATGTTGTCAACCTCATTGTCTTCACATATCACTGGGTACCCATCTACGATACTGTAATGTCAATTTCGTGCTTTCTATTGGCGATGGAATAGCCAAATGGTCAAAGCGTTCGCTTGTCTCACCAAAGACCCGAGTTAAATAGAATAGAATAGAATAGAATAGAATAGAATAGTACTTTAATGCCTTTTCAGGAATTTGTGTTACATCGGCAGAGCTACTGACACATCAGAGAGATACAAAACATATTTACATAAATTCATTGATTTAGTTATCTTCAAATTTGTTTAAGAGAGAAATGGTACTTGGAATAAAGGATGTACGGGCTCTCTTAGTTTTCACAATTGGAACTTTGTAGCGGCGGCCTGAAGGGAGGAGGTTGTATTCCGAATTTAAGTAGTGAGTACGGTCAGATATAATTTTTACAGCTTGATTCACGATTTGCCGCTCATATATTGATGATAAACATTCAAATCTGACTCCAGCGATTTTACTTGCAGTGTTAACAATTTTGTCTATTTTAGATTTGAGATGAACTGAGAGAGACCCGTACCAACAATGGAAGGAAAATGTTAAAATACTCTGAATAAATGCTACATAAAAAGATGACATCACAGATGGGTTAACATTAACAGATCTCAGTTTACGCATGAGATAAAGACGTTGTTGACACTTTTTGTATAGGGCTTCAGTGTTAGAGTTCCAGTTCAGATTTCCCACATGGATAGTGTCAAGTGTGTTTATTCACGTCTTTCGGCCGTTGGCCCATATACATGTACATTGCAATACATAATCCATACATATTATTTAGAATAGTTACACATTCAATGATGTGTGCCTTCTTTTAAGGCTATGAAACATATATATTTACATACTTTGAGCCCATTTCTGGTGTCCCCCGCCGTGATATTACTGGAATATTGCTAAAAGCGGCGTAAAACTAAACTCACTCACTCGTGTTTTCAGGTGTCATCAACACTGTGTTACTGACATTTAACTACGGCGTCTACAAACTTCACCACGACGACTTTTCGGTATTTTTCTACAACGTGAACCTTTCCTTCTATCTGATGAAGCCAGACATACCCTTCAAAGTCCATGTGTTCCTCCTGCTGGTCGGGGTAAGTTCATTCGACTCGTCCCATAGCAGCAGGACCGGGAAGTGGGGTGTTAGATAATTGAGACATAAAGTAAAACTGACCATCCACAAGATGCAGGACCGGGAAGCGGGGTGTTAAATAATTGAGACATAAAGTAAAACTGACCATCCACAAGATGCAGGACCGGGAAGCGGGGTGTTAGATAATTGAGACATAAAGTAAAACTGACCATCCACAAGATGCAGGACCGGGAAGCGGGGTGTTAGATAGTTGAGACATAAAGTAAAACTGGCCATCCACAAGTGTAGGCGTTATATTGCAGACACTCACTCACTAACACGTGTTATCACATATCTCAAGGCTGATGAATAATGAAAAACATACAGCCTCTGTGAACAGTATTTCAGTTTCAATACATTACGCAAATTGCCAATATTCAACACACATTGCGATATACCATTCATGTGCCAATCTGCCAACTGTGAACATCGTGGATGTCCTATCTTTGTGCAGGGCTACATTCCAGGGGTCAGTGGCCTGGGTCTTATTATGGTCAACAAGAAGATGTCTAGCGTGAGTCGTCATCGTCATCGTCGTCGTTATCATCATCGTCATCATCAACATCATCACCGTCGTCATCATCATCGTCATCATCAACACCATAATCACCATCACCGTCGTCATCATCATCGTCATCACCAACACTATCAACGTTGTCGTCATCAACATCGTCGTCCCCATCACCGTCGTCATCATCAACACCATCGTCACCATCACCGTCGTCATCATCAACACCATCGTCACCATCACTGTCGGCATCATCAACACCATCGTCACCATCATCGTTGTCATCATCAGCATCGCCATCGTCGTCGTTATCATCATCGTCATCATCTTGAACATTATCGTCGACATCGTCGTCGTCGTCATCATCAACATCATCGTTGTCATCAACATCAGAATTGAAATGAACATACGAATACTCTTAATGACAGAATAACTATCATGGACAGATATTCATTCTCCATTCTCTGAATATATTATATATCGATAATATATGTTCAAGAATCACTATCCAGTATTGATCATACCTGGTGTAAGAGACCCACCGTTCACTTTTCTCGGGGTCCATAGTGTACTAAGGATGGTTTCCTTTTCAGAACGTTCGTCTTGTTCACTTAGTGAGCGCTGTTGGTGGCACGATATGTATGGCAGTGCTGATGATAACGGAGGCCACCAGTATACATGAGATCCATTCCGTGTCGTGCGGTTACTACTGGGGCTACTGCTCGTGTGGAGACTTTTACTTCAATACAATGTAAGTCATGTTTCCATCACTTCTCTGTGGGTGTTTGTTAGTTGTTTAACGACGCACTTAACACTATTCCAGCTATAGCTGACCACACATTTCGACAAGCGTGTCTGTGACGTTTGGGGCCTATTCGTCTATGGTGTTCTGTACGTGTGCATGGTAATATATCTGAGCTTTTCCCTTACAATAGTGGTATGGTAGGACTAATCTAGTTTGTTCTCAAGGACCAAATGGTATACATCATGCTGCTGAGAACAGTTCCTACCTGACAGGACCCGACTGACGTGTTTAAAGGTTTGGTCCATTCTCAATGCTTGCACCATATTGGTACTCGCTTGTTATACGTTGACGAGGTTGAGCCCCTTCTTTTAGAAGTATGCCTACTGAACTAGTGAAAGTCAGACATCTGCCGCCGAAGCAAGGACATGATTGTATATAGAAATAGAAGATATCTGATAGCATATGTCCGGTGCGGAGGAAGAAATCCAAGTCGCTTGGATTCTCCATCATATCTCCAAAACCCCAAAACATTCGTAGCCAAAATGTACTCACGCACGCACACACACACATTTATGGACTGGGTGATTATGATAGTACTATGAGCGTCCACAGAGACGGGATGGCGAATGTGTATCGTGATATTTTATTTACCGAAATGTCGCGTGAATGTGTATGCTTCAGCGTCTATAACACTACTGAAAGGCTGGAAACTTCCTGACAATCCGGTCTTATATCTAGCTCATTCTTTCAATACCTTTGTCAGATAAAACTGGAAGGTCAATGTAAGTACATGTCAATGTAGTCCGGATTATGGAGAAAAACGGATTACACAGAGTCCGGATTTGACAGATTCCACTGTATTTTCTGTTGTTAAATATGTCTTGAAAAGAAGCTTGTTTGTGAAACACCTCAGATGCGTCCCAAAAATAAATGAATAAAATATGAATTGGGCTATGTGTGACAGACATTGGATAAAGTAATAAAACGATACAGGTAAGTGTCGTTTATTGTAAAATTTGAGAAATAATATCGATGCGTCAATGTTTTGGATAGACGTGACATCCCAAGTTTATATCATAATGAGACGAGAAGATGTAATGCTACATATTGATGGCTTTTGCTGATTCTGTAACAATTGTGTTTTGCAGCAGCCCAGCAGTGTGTGTCATGAAGCAGGTGAGGATCACGTATCTGGCGCTGCTGTGTATCAACCTCGTCTGTGACGTCATCAGTCTGTCTTTCTCAACTAAAATGGTGAGACTTTGATGTTACAAGTGTGAATGCTGACCGGTAACCAAGTGATCATAACGGGTTTTGTTTGGCTGTTGTTTCACGTTGCCACGTGACGATGGACCAGACTATCCAGTGTTTGACATCATCAGCATCGATCTACGCAATGGGTTCAATGACATGCAGTGGAAGCCTGGCCACCCGATCCCGTTACGTCTCTTACAACAAGCATCGGTAGCGGAGACCAATTTTTATGCCGCTTTTAGCAATATTCTAGCAATATCACGATGGGGGACACCCGCAATAGGCTTCACACATTGTATCCATTGTGGAATCTAACCCGGGTCTTCGACGTGACTAACGAACGCTCCTACCACTAGGCTACTCCACCGCCCCACGAGACACTATGAAAGTAGTGCACCAACAATATGCGTTATCGACTGTTCAATGAGTGTTCATGACGTCACAAATGATAATGCGAATTCAGTGATGTCTCCTGTATTGTTGACATTTCATCGTTTCTTCTTCGTTTGCTCTCTTAACCAGCGACTGAGTAATATACTATTTTTAAAAAGAAACGCATAACCCAGAAATCAGTTGCGAAAATTTTGTATTTTCAAACATGTATAACTCGTCCACAAATAGACTTTAGGAAATGAACTTTTATATCAGTTTAGAATAAGGAAATGTCTTTACAACCAAGTAGATAAGGTTAGGTAACGGAGACGTTGAGCGCGATGGTGACGTAGCACGGTCCCGACGTCGGGTCTTCCTGGCTCTCAGTCCAATGTCTCTGATTGGTACAGTTAGACAGGATATCCTCCGAAGTCCAGGCACCCTGGCTGCTGTGCTCTCACCCGTGGCAGTACGTTCACGCAAATGTAGGACCCGGATGTACCGATCTTAGGCTGCAGTGGTGACTCGAGGTCTTCCTGTACGGGGACGGCCATTTGTTATACCTGTTTGGTTGTAACGAGCTGCAAGCCGTGATATCGTGCTCAGACTAACATTCAGACGCCTGGCAACAGAAGGATTGGTAATCTCCAGCGTGCGATGTTCCCTGTCGCAGCGTCAAGACGTGGCGTTGTGATTTGACCTTGAAACTCCTTCAAAACGAATGACGATTTCCGAAAGTATTCTGGATTTTGATAGCATGACAGTGCCTGCTCTTTGCTGCACAATTTCTACTGGAAGGTGATTTCTGTAGCGTTGTCACGATGCCATTTTAATCCTTGTAAGAAATATCATCTCAAAATTAATATCTTCAGGTAAAGTCGATTTTTTGCTTGTGCAATTGTGCAAAATCATGATATCAACACTTTTGTTACATATTTCGACGATTGTTTGAACACAATTCGTAATTAATAGATTTTTTACAATGCAAAATGCCTATGCGTTTCTATTTTTTGGATAGTATATATAGAATAACATACTCAAAACTGAAGAGGGCGCATTATCTTTCCCTCCTCAATGACGCTCTCTGCCTTTCCTGTTTTATTGTGAAAGAATTCATGGCATATTATTCAGAACTTTATTCATCAAATGTAGTGTCATGAAGAGGTAAAGAAAATGGTCGGTAAAAGTGTTATGATGGCAGAGTCCTATATGCCAACAATTTGAGATATATTTTTTTGAAAATCAATATTTAGACAAACTTTGTCGAGATTCCCATTTCCATATGCTTGCGAGGAGAATACGATATCGGGTGGTCAGACTTCGCTGAGTGTCTGTCATCGCTAAGGACGAAGTGTGGCGGAGCTCATGATGTCGACCACTGGGTTGTACAGACTCGACGGGTTACAAGCAGCCGTCATTACGCTGGGCAATCGCGTGTGGGGCGGTAAACACAAACCCGTGCAGCATTATTCGGTTACTGTATGTTGTTCTGGGTCTCTGATCAACCCAAGTGGAAGGCTGCCGTTCCAGTCCCGCTTGGCCCCGATTATTTCTCTAGGTCTTCCAGCACCATTCTTGTTTTCGCGGGATTCACGGTGTAAACGTCTGTGACGGGCATCACTTCTGGCTTTTCTCCCACGAAGCTGAGACACCGTGATATAACTGGAACACTGTTCACAGAGGCGGTGAACCAAACTGACTTATTGACTCACTGATACACTTTTGAGACTAAATAAAGTAAACATATGGAAATATGGCACAAGTTTGAATGTACACCTTTAAATTCTTCATTTGTGTATTCTGTTCATAGGGGAAGGATGTCCCGGTCAGACACAGCAATATTACAATGGTGGCGCCCCGGTCGCAAACAACTTACCAATCTTAGCTCTACAATAGTGTTGTGCATCATATGGGTGATGTGCTCTACGGTGTTTGGTACGGAAGAAGACAGACTCGTATTTGATGCTATGTCAAGGCGTGCATTAAAGGTTATTTTGACATTGCTTGGAATGACGTTCGATGAAATGTGATTTAACAAGGCGTTGAAGATTGGCGTATTCCTCTGACATCAACAATTATACTTCTTCGTTGACGTATTGGTGCGCTGTATTTAACATTGGTGTGTATTGAACGTCTTTGATAAACGTGACATCAACAATTATATTTCTTCGTTGACGTATTGGTGCGCTGTATTTAACATTGGTATTTATTGTACGTCTTTCAGAAACGTGACATTCAGAGTTTCTATCAAGTCGTGTCACTTGAATTAATCTATGAAATAGCAGGTACTATATTGGATGCATTCTAATATCTTACTCACATAAATGCTCTTCTTTTAATTGTCCATCGTATTTACAGTGGAAGTTGTTTGTTGTTATTACGTGCAGTCGGCAGACAGGAAGGGCGTGGCAGGAAGTAACTGGTTAGCTTGTCATCCCGGAAGATATAATCAATCAAGTACATGTCATTCATGTGTTGGTACAAAAACCAATTTTCATACCACCTTTCTCTCAATTTAAATGCAATTACGTTGTGAAAGTAAATCCCTCAAAGGTGAGGTGAGGCGAAATTGGGTTTAACGTCGTACTTATGAATATTTCGCTCATATGACGACGTGCATGCGTGTGTATGTGTATGTGTGGCTGCTTGTACTAGCCCAGACTAAGCTGGTTTTATAGTGCTAGTTCACTGAGATACCATGTCGCTGTTAAGCATGAATACCACACTCAGACACATTATACTGACTCCGAGCCGACCAGTCCTTGTTGTACCCATTAATGCCGAGCGCCAGGCAGGGACCAACAAGTACCATATTTTAATTGGTATGATCGGATCGAACACGGGCGGACGCACTGACCACTACACCACGGAGGCGGTCAAATCCTTCAATGAAGGGACTTAACGGGATGTAATGACCTCTACTCTGATTGACCCCAAACACACATGGTCATTTTATCATACCTATAACTGCTGTGAGGTCCGCACATGTTACTGACGTCCTCAATCAAAGGGTCCGTAGCAATCCAAGGGCAGACAATTCAGTTTAAGAGTTTCACTTGTTCTTGGAATTTTTTTATGGTTTAATCAAAACTAAACATAGACTGCAATACTAGTTTTGAACACGCAAATGGATTGCAATGGGGATTATCCGAGTATGTATACAGCTAATCCGCCACTGGACCCACCTTTACAATAGATATATACTGGACGTTTTAGTGACATCAAGGAGGTCAAGGGTCATCTAAAGCTGTAACCGAGCTGATGCTGATATCCGTTCCATGATGTTCTCTGTCTAAGTAACGATTTCAATCAAAATTGTTGATTAGCTGTAAGGGATGGAAAAGCTGTTGTTACAAAAATAAATTTGTTCCTCTGCTCCTTTTAAACTTTGAATGTTTCGAAGCAGTGGCCGAAAATAATCTGTGAAAAACAAGTCCAGGTCAAATCCTGGAAGCTAAGGGACGTAACTCCTTGGTAACTACGAGATTCCAGAATGTTGTGTCATTCGCACTCTGACATGTTATTTAGGTTTTGTCGAATGTCTTGACAAAAAACACCGACTTTATATGAACATTCTTATGTATGTTGGTGATCTAAGTGAGTATCACAACTAATACACAGCCAGTTAAAGAATGCTAGCGACTGACGGCCCGCCGACCAGGAGGTTTAAAGATCAGTTAATCAGACAAGATACATGTATTCGTGTTGACAGTTGGTTACCTAGGTGCCATCTATGACGGTCGACCATAAAACTTGGCAGGGGTTCACAGACGAGACATACTGAATATTTTTTTCGTCTTCTCCCCGTCAATTATCTCGGTGTCCACGACTGCAGTAACGCCTTATCACGACAACTTTGAAACTTTTCCCAAACACACCCCATATCAATGTACGGCAACCATAGCGGCGCATACAGCCCTGCCGATACCATGCTCAATAAACAAAGCTCAGAACTCAAGCATTGAGATCAGTTACGTGGGATAGAGGGTTGCCTATTTGCCATATGTATTTGTTGTTAAAGAGATTAAAAACTTCAAAGCTAGATGAGTAGAATTTATTCAGATGATACGTTTGTAACAGTCACTAGGTGGCAGGCAAAGGATAAGATTATCGTTATATTCCCCCCTTCTTTATCATACATGTATATATTCAAGCGACGCTATATGTTTCCAAGGAGCTACAGATTACAGTTTACCCTGCTGGTAGCAATATCACTGCCGGGAACATTAGGACTGGAAGTAACAATTAAGACACATGTGTTCAGTGAGTTTCCTCATCGCGCGAATGACTGATAAAATATGTCCATGTTGAAAATACCCTCACAGTTGTAGGCAGGTTCCGTCAGTACAGTCCACACAATCTAAACTCCTGAATGTGTATTCTTGGGAATTGTTTGGTTAAATACATTCTGAGAGTTTTATGATTAGCTGACTGAGCCGAGCTGATCGTTGGTCTTTGAAGTGAATGGGATTCGAGTTTTTTTTAAATCGAACACAGTTCGTAATGAGCGAACGCCTCGTCTCGACTCCCCATGTAGCCAGCTGAATCTACTTGAGCGAGCTGCTAGGCTTAGTCAGCATGTGAAATAATACCAGTAAAGCTGTACAGAAGGGTGCAAGGCTACTATCTACAGAAGGGTGCAAGGCTACTATCTACAGAAGGGTGCAAGGCTACTATCTACAGAAGGGTGCAAGGCTACTATCTACAGAAGGGTGCAAGGCTACTATCTACAGAAGGGTGCAAGGCTACTATCTACAGAAGGGTGCAAGGCTACTATCTACAGAAGGGTGCAAGGCTACTATCTACAGAAGGGTGCAAGGCTACTATCTACAGAAGGGTGCAAGGCTACTATCTACAGAAGGGTGCAAGGCTACTATCAAACTTTCGCAATACTTTCTACAATAGGGTGCAAGACTACATCTGTTGCAAGGCTACTATCAAAGGGTCGCAATACTTTTATGACAACATCTGTTGCATGTTCTACATTCCATTGTCTAGGTTTGATTGAAATGCCTCAGCTTTCTAGCCATATTAAATATCGGTACAAGGGGATTAGTACCGGAAAGTCGCAGGTTTCATCCAAGCAGTTTAAACACCATAATGTCTGTCCACTTACACAGTTATCTGGTTGATCGGATTGTGTAATCAGTGTGTCTCCAAGATTGGGTGATAAGACGTAGCTGATTGTGTAGCACGTGCATCTTTAAGATTGGTTGGTTGGTTGTTTAACGCCGCACTCAGCAATATTCCAGCTATATGGCGGCGGTCTGTAAATAATCGAGACCGGGCCAGACAATCCAGTGATCAACATCATGAGCATCGAGCTACGCAAATGGGATCCGATGACATGTCAGCGAACCTGACAACCCGATCCCGTTAGTCGCCTCTACGAACAAGCATGGGTTGCTGAAGATCTTCACCGGTCGTGTAATTAGACGTAGATCCGGTGCTTATGCTTAACTGATATCTGGTCATTATGTCTCCAAGACGTATATCTGGTGGCCACTATGTCTCCAAGACGTATATCTGGTGGTCATTATGTCTCCAAGACGTATATCTGGTGGTCACTATGTCTCCAAGACGTATATCTGGTGGCCACTATGTCTCCAAGACGCATATCTGGTGGTCACTATGTCTCCAAGACGTATATCTGGTGGCCACTATGTCTCCAAGACGTATATCTGGTGGTCACTATGTCTCCAAGACGTATATCTGGTGGTCACTATGTCTCCAAGACGTATATCTGGTGGTCACTATGTCTCCAAGACGTATATCTGGTGGTCATTATGTCTCCAAGACGTATATCTGGTGGTCCACTATGTCTCCAAGACGTATATCTGGTGGTCACTATGTCTCCAAGACGTATATCTGGTGGTCACTATGTCTCCAAGACGTATATCTGGTGGTCACTATGTCTCCAAGACGTATATCTGGTGGTGGCCACTATGTCTCCAAAGACGTATATCTGGTGGCCACTATGTCTCCAAGACGTATATCTGGTGGTCACTATGTCTCCAAGACGTATCTCTGGTGGTCACTATGTCTCCAAGACGACGTATATCTGGTGGTCACTATGTCCCCAAGACGTATATCTGGTGGTCACTATGTCTCCAAGACGTATATCTGGTGGCCACTATGTCTCCAAGACGTATATCTGGTGGTCACTATGTCTCCAAGACGTATATCTGGTGGTCACTATGTCTCCAAGACGTATATCTGGTGGTCACTATGTCTCCAAGACGTATATCTGGTGGTCACTATGTCTCCAAGACGTATATCTGGTGGTCACTATGTCTCCAAGACGTATATCTGGTGGTCACTATGTCTCCAAGACGTATATCTGGTGGTCACTATGTCTCCAAGACGTATGTCCCCAAGTCGTATATCTGGTGGTCACTATGTCCCCAAGACGTATATCTGGTGGCCACTATGTCCCAAGACGTATATCTGGTGGTCACTATGTCCCCAAGACGTATATCTGGTAGCCACTATGTCTCCAAGACGTATATCTGGTGGTCACTATGTCTCCAAGACGTATATCTGGTGGCCACTATGTCCCCAAGACGTATATCTGGTGGTCACTATGTCTCCAAGACGTATATCTGGTGGCCACTATGTCTCCAAGACGTATATCTGGTGGTCACTATGTCTCCAAGACGTATATCTGGTGGCCACTATGTCTCTGGTGGTCACTATGTATATCTGACGTATATCTGGTCACTATGTCTCCAAGACGTATATCTGGTGGTATGTCAAGACTATATCTCCTCCAAGACGTATATCTGGTGGCCACTATGTCTCCAAGACGTATATCTGGTGGCCACTATGTCTCCAAGACGTATATCTGGTGGCCACTATGTCTCCAAGACGTATATCTGGTGGTCACTATGTCTCAAGACTATGTCTATGTCCCAAGACGTATATCTGGTGGTCACTATGTCTCCAAGACGTATATCTGGTGGCCACTATGTCCCCAAGACGTATATCTGGTGGTCACTATGTCTCCAAGACGTATATCTGGTGGCCACTATGTCTCCAAGACGTATATCTGGTGGCCACTATGTCTCCAAGACGTATATCTGGTGGCCACTATGTCCCCAAGACGTATATCTGGTGGCCACTATGTCTCCAAGACGTATATCTGGTGGCCACTATGTCCCCAAGACGTATATCTGGTGGTCACTATGTCTCCAAGACGTATATCTGGTGGTCACTATGTCTCCAAGACGTATATCTGGTAGTCACTATGTCTCCAAGACGTATATCTGGTGGTCACTATGTCTCCAAGACGTATATCTGGTGGCCACTATGTCTCCAAGACGTATATCTGGTAGCCACTA